AACGTCCTTTCACCTAGGCAGATTTCCTAATTTTGGTGCTCTGGGCCTTGGTTTGCCATTGACTTCTTCGAGTAACTTATTTTCTATTACTTGTGTTGTTTTGACTATTTCTGGGCTTTGATGCTGTTTCACTTTGAGATTTTACAGGTGAAGTTACATTTCCTTGCCTTTGTCTCTATAACCCTTTACCTGTCCCCACTGGATGATTACCTTCCCCTTCTCAGCCATAGCGATTCAAGAAGGTCCAGTGGGAGAATGAAGAAGGTGGGAAGGAATAGGTCACACATGACTTATAATCCGTGAGAAGGTGTAACACAGATGTTAAGTACCCAGCTCCCACTAGCTGTATTTCAAATGTATCTCACATTCTACTTTCCGCTCTCACCACCCTAACCTGAAGTGTCTTCTAACACTGCAATGTTGTTCATAACTGTCTTAAACTGCTATTTAAATCTTTTAACATTGGTTAATTTTTTGAAAGTTTGCTGAATCTTTCCAATTGTATTGCACATTTGAGAACAAACTATCCTATGTTCAGTATCAATCACACTGAGGAATGATTATTCTATCCTTTCTGACTCTAAAAACATGAATACATGAACAGAAATAAACCAGCGGATTCTTTTAAGCATCTATACCAACTATGCCCTTTGTACTAAAAACTAATGTGCTACTTTGTACTCTTGACCCTAAAATAATTTTTCCAGCTTTACTGTGATATAATGGACATATCCTAAAAAATGTATGTCTCTCAGCTCAAAGGCCCATCAGTAGGCTCTCCCCACATTACTGTTAAATTATGTCCATTTCTTTCTTCAAGATGTTATTCAACATTTGCCTTCTTGCTCTGGTATTGTTAGATTCACTACCAGATTCCAATAAGAACCACCATTTTTGGTATCACATGTGTGACTATGGAAGTAGGTGTGGTTGATTGCAGAATTTTTAGTAATTATTCCATGTATGTTTTTGATAATTCTACTTAGGTTTGCTCTGTTTCCTGTTCATGTATAAGTGACTTCAGGGTAGAACTTCTAGAGCATGTCTCTTGTCACTGCTCACAGCTTCTCATATACTCTTCACATGTCATAGGATAGATGCCTAAGTTACAGTCACTGATGATAAATCTTTCTGGAGAAATTCAGCAAAGCTAGGAGATATTGTGTTCTTTACAACCAAGTTTGTAGCCTGGGGAAGAGATCACTGAAACACTCCAAGGACTCAAAGCGAATACAGAATAGCTGTTCCCTTCTCCTGTGGATTGGTAAGAAATCTTTCCTTCTTGGAATCTACATTAAGAAGGGATTAATCAGATACCCAGAAATATCTGTGTCTAGACTGATTATAGAATTTACAACTGCTGGGTAAATTGGAGCCTCTCTACTTCATTACGCTCAGAGTTAAACATACCCCAAGGCTACCAGCAAGCTAATAAAAATAAAGTGGAGAAAATTATATGCTTTAAGAAGTTCTTTTAAAGACAAATCTTGTTTAAGAAGATTTAATACAAACATTAAGAAAGACTAGTAAAATGTTAGAAATAAATTTCCAATTCTATTATTTTGATATTGGGTTGTCGGAAAAGTCATGATGCATTTTTGCAATGAAAAACATAGAAAAAATACATCATGACTTTTCCGACAACCCAGTAGAGCAAGAGCTTTTGATTTGGGTTTTAAAAGTGTGTTTAAAAAAACATTAGCACCGAACAGCAATGTAATAATGCCAAGGCTTTTGAAAAGCTCAAAGGAGGAAATGCTGTTTTCTCCTTGTTTAGCAGGGAGACAGTGTGATCCAAGACAATACTGCATAATGGTTTGACTAATGTTTGGCCACTGGAGCCAAATTTCTCCAGTTCAAATCCTGGCTTTAAATCCTATGAGCCGTGTGATTCTGGGCAAGGAACTTTCTCTATAAAATAGGAAGATAAGTGTATCTATTTCATTGGATTTTTCTATTATGTAAGTAGGTAAATATACTTAAAAGTGCTTTGAACAGTGACTGGCATGTGGTTCATGCTCAGTAAGTGTGAGTGGTTATCTCAATCACCTCTTATACACGAAGACTTCTAAAGGGCTTTGAGATTTCAAGGAATCTATTTATTAGGGTCTTCCTATTTCAAATGCCTTACTACTCTTGTAAGGATCATGAACAACAAGGACAACTAACACGACTGCAGGCATAGCATGTTTCTGGTACTGTGCTAGTCTAGGTTTTCAACAGATTATTTCATTGAAGCCTTGCAACAACTCTGTGCAGTACGTACTATTGTTAGCACAATTTTACATATATCAACAAAACTGAGACTAGGAAAGTGTTAGTAACTTGCCTATATTCACAAAGTTAGTAAGTGATAGATCTATATTTGAACCCAAGATACTCCATTCTCCAGCCCAAAATCTCTGTGGTACTTAAGCCCTTTTGTTCATTCTTTAGGTGTTATTTGTTTAGGTGATTTGAACGTTTTCTTTCTCATCCTCTCCTCTCTTTTTTATTGCTCTTCCCTGTGACAGTCTACTCCCACCATTTCAATTACAGATGATCTGCATGTCTATTCAGTCCCAATCTGCTGGCTGATTGATCTCTATCCTATAATCCCAATTAGGGGCACCTCCATTTGGGGGCTACACACTGCAAAATCAACATGGCCTGAACCATACCGAGTACATTATTGTCCATCTCAAATCATTTTCTCTTTCTCACATCTTTATTTCTTTTCCCCTTACCCTTCGTTCTCTAAGCTTTAATGTGACTTCACTTTCTCTCAACATACTCAAGCCCAGCCACCATAATCATCATCAACACCTAGATCTATAAATTCTGCCTCTGTAATTTCCTTTAGATGTATCTCCTCCATTCTGTTCCTACAATCACTATTATAATTCAGAAGCTCATTATCCTAAAATGGGCACAGAAGTTCCCAGTGGTTCCCATCAGAAAAGATTCCCCAGTTTTCTGCACACTGAATCAAGACTCAGCTTTTCAGCTTGGCATTTAGGGTCCCCTACCTACCTTTTAAACCTCATCTCTCACCAATGTCATTCACATATCTATCCTCCGGACCAACAGACCACTGTGTTTCCTGAGCACAGCACACGTTAGCTCATGGCACTGCTTGCGCTGCTGCCCCACTGGATCAACTCTCCTGCATCTCTGCCTCTGGACATTGGACCAAGCTCATCTCTCACATCACTTCCTCCATGAGGCTTTTTCTGATCTCTACAGGATGTGAGTTGTTACTTGTGAAGCCGTCCAACCTTCTGTCCTGGCCTTACTCCACTTATTATAATAACCTCTGTCCCTGTCTGCTCCACTTACTAGACTGTGAATTCTTTGAAAGCAGAAGCTAACATCCTTTGCCAAAACCAAATGTGGTCTCTATTTTACAGAGTCACGATAAACTTGAAATTAAAATGCATGTGTATCTTCTGATTGGCCAACCTGCTAGAGCTTGTTGCATTATGAAAGGTACTGTGGAGAGCATGTTAAAAGGGCATAAAAGAACCTGAAAGCAAAGGGGATAGACTAAACATTTTGTTTGAGAGTTAAGTATGGTCATACATCACCAGCTTAAGGAATCTAGATAGGAGCATGGCAGGTAGATTCCTTCACCTTCATAACCCATGGAGCAGTCCCGTTAATTGACTCATAAAGTTCTTGATCCTGATTGCAAAGGTCAACAAGATGGATAAACTGGTACTGTCTTGATCTGGTTTGTGCCATACAGTATATTTACATAATTTGGTGAGCTTGATGAATATTTAAAATGCACTTTCCAAAAAAAAAATTCTCTTTATTACCACAGTAACTCTGCATTAATTTTGGACATGTGATAATTTGGATAGGAGGTGGAACAGACTATTAAAGATACCTTGAAACTGGCCTCAATGGAAATGGAGTTTAGCCATGCTGGTGATGAATTGATAGGGGTAGTGAAGAATATACAAAGGGAAGCAGAAGACAGGTAATTAAGAACCTGGCTGGATGACACCCAGGGGAACAAAACACAGACACCTCAAAGTCTGACACCAGCAGGAAAAGGGAAAAACAAGGACAATGAAAATCATTCAAATATTAAAAATAGAGTATATTGCAGTATAGGAAAGTAAGCAGGTGGGATGGGGGTGAAAGGGAACACAAGAGAAGCAGATGGGAATATAATGATCACATCATGTCAATATATTTTGAGGTAAATTCTCAGTTGGTCATACTTAGACCAACTGCCATGATTGCTTATTAGCGGCAATGACTTTTTGAATTCACTTGACCAGCCCAGCTGGATTTATTAGTCTGGAACTTCAAACTGGGGGAAGGGAGAAAGATCATAACTATAACGTAAATACAGGTGAATTAGTATTAGAACAGAATCTTGGGAGACAAGGTACATTTTTAAGAAAGTATATTCAGCACATTATACTAGGGCAATTATAGAATTTTTGTAGACTTGGAATTCACTATAAATGGGAAGTGACTTGTATAAAGAATAACAACATTTAGGGTTGCTATAGCATTTTTTTTTTCTTAAGGAAGTTTAGTTACCTTTTATAGATATTCAATTATTCTTGATTTTTATTTATTCATTCATTCACTCATCCATCCATCCATCCATCCATCCATCCATCCATCCATCCATCCATCCATCCAGCAGTCTAAGCACCTGGAGGCACAGCTTCATTTAACTCTGTGAAACAGGTGAGATGACGATATTAATAAGCCCCATCTTTTACTAATAGGAGAAGCACCGAGAGGTGATGAGCCCAAGCCTATGCAGTGAGTTCCTTGCTGAACCTGGCCCTAGAGCTCAGCACTCTGTTTACTGGACACCCCTCTTGATCCTTGTCTGGCCTGATTCTCCCTGAGATTTTTCTACCAGCTGCCACCTACCTGTGGAATTTATCATATTTATGGATAGGAAGCAATGCAAAGGGTCACCTTTTCCTTGTATGTACCCACAATTATGCCATCTTAGGTCTGGAAGGCATGGGGCACTTGGCACTTACTGTTCACGAAGACAGCAAACCTCAGGAAGGACAGGTAACGCTCCCCTTCAATGGGGTTCCAGCCCACATCAGGGTACCCTTTGGCCAGAAGCATGGGGCAGCTCTGTAGCCCACAGCCTGCCAAGTAGGTCACCACCTGCCAAGAACAGTACAAAAGTTGTGTCCAAGTTTTTTTTACAAGATAGCTGTGAAGCCGGCAAAATCCTGGGGCCTGACAGACTTTTGTTTTCCTAGAAGCTAGAGAGAGTCCAAGACTTCTAAAGTACATAACTTAGATTTGAAGTGAGAACCTCCAATGCATTTTTGTTTTCAAATAATCAGCAAAACCGATGGTCACTGTTACATAGGAATATACATGTGCTATTGGTTGTCTGGTTTTCCCAGTTCTGGCAAGGGGGAGGTGCCATTTAAAAATAGGTGTAACAAAATAAATAAATAAATAAATAAATAAATAAATAAATAAATAAATAAATAAATAGATAGATAAATAAAAAGATAAATAAAAAGATAAATAAAAAGATAAATAAAAAGATAAATAAATAAATAAATAAATACATACATACATACATACATACATACATACAGACCTAACTAGGGTGGCTAGTTAGCTCAGTTGGTTAGAGCGCAGTGCTCATAACACCAAGGTTGCCGGTTTGATCCCCCTATGGGCTACTGAGTTGTGCCCTCCACAACTAAACTGAAGACAACTATTTGACTTGGAGATGATGGGTCCTGGAAAAACACACTGTTCCCCAATTAAAAAAAAACAAACAAATAAATAAAAAATGAAAAATAAAAATAGGCCTGACGAGTGTGTGTCTGTGGAGGTAACGGTGGATCGAGGCTGGCCATGTTCACTTGGCCATGGTATTTCAAGACCAAAGATTCAGTCACTGGTTGGCTGACTCTCAGTGGGCCCTTGACTCATCAGGGGTCCCCACTCAAGTTCTGTAACAGTCGTCCAAAGTGAAAAGTCAAGATATTAAGGTTGGGGTGGCTAGTGAAGAGGCCGCGGCCAGTTAAGGACTAGGATTGGTAGTGCTCTCTTTGCTTCCAGGTTACCAGACACTTGTCACAAGAGCTTAGCTCTGTGATCGCGTGGAAGTTTTTAGAATCTGTCTATGTTTTGGAAGGTGTCAGGCAAAAGCCTGGCAATTAGATCATTGCTTGAAATACAGTTGCTTGAAATACAGATGTTATTCTAATTTTATATCTACAGGGGGAGAGAAGAATCCCCTAGGCTGCAAAAGACTCATAGTCAGGAATGGTGTTTTTTAATTTTTTAATCCCCAGGGCCTGGTTGGTGCATATTAGGTGCTCAATAACTGTTTGCCAAATGAATCATGTATTTATTTGCTGATGTTACATACTCAAGTCATTTTGCAAGAATAATGAGTCTAAGTCAAAACTTCGTAATGAACCACCATCACACTTTTTCCTTATTAAACCAGTAAGGATACTGTTCTGTTGGGAGTTTAGATTTAATTTGACCTTTAAAAATGGCAGGAGAAACATTAGTAAAGGCAAGGATTAGGCAGAGCTGTCAGGGCTACAGGTATAGAGCATTTCACTAGCCACTAAGATAAATACCCGTGTGTCTCTGTGTGTGTGTGTGTGTGAGGCGACGGGGAGGGGAAGGAGGAGGGTAGGATTGTTTTTTGGTCTTAAAGGACCTAATTTCCATTTTGATCAATAGGAGGGAGGACCTGAAGCATTTACTGGTCCTTTCTCTTTCTCTTCAGGAACGAAACTTGGGTGATTTCCTGACACGGGCCTGAATAAAGTCTGTGCACTGTGTTGAGTTGCCAGAACCACTTGGAAAGGGGGCAGCAAACCTCATCATCCCCCTTTACAGATTTCCCTGAGTCCCTGCTTCTCCCCGCTTAGCCTCCTGGCCTCCACTTGTCATGTCTTACATCTTCCAAGGGATGCTCGGGGTCTTTGTCGAGCGGTGTCATTTGAAAAGATGGACTGTGACTAAGGATGGGGTGCTGAATACTAAGTCTCGTGCCACTGTCCGGTTGTAAGAGAACCACTGGCTACTTTTTTCATAGCAGCATCAGTTGTCATTTCACCACCTAGAACCCCGTGTAATTTATTTCTGTTTAAATGCATGAATAATAGAGTTTAATGGAAGTCTGTCCCACAGTAGCAGAAACCAGGAATGCACATGGCATTTGTGGAACCACTATGTTACAGTGTGCGGCTGGTGGCATAGCATTTGAGTCTGTGTGTGTATGGGGAGGCCATCTTGTTTCTGTTCCAATCAGTTCTTCTCACTGAAACCAGGTTGTGATTTCTAAACTGCACATCGTGTTCCTCCAATGGTTTCTATTGCTCTTGGCTCTACAGTGAGGTCCTATAACAGAACAGCTAAGGGCACGGCTTCTGGGGCCAAACTCTCAAACCCTGCCCCTGTCACTCACAAACCCCACAACACTGAAGATGTTACCTAATCTCTCTGTGCCTCAGTTTCCTCTCTTATAGCTGAGGACAATAACAAAAAGGCGTGTTCTGAGGGTCACGTGAGTTAATTCAGAGGGGGGCCTGGTGCATAGTGATTCTGTAGGAATCTGTAGGTGTATTATTCTATTATTAATAGTAATGGTAGCACAATGTCCATTTCCTTACAAATACACCTCATTTCTCACACTTCCCCCAAGCACTCTGTGCTCTAGTCATCCCCACATTTCTGATTCTCAAGCACACCATGCTCTCCTCTCTGAATCTCAAACATTCCCGGCATGCACTTCCCAACAATGGGGCTGATTAGCATCTGCTCACCCCTCAGCTCATCGCTTCTCTCAGTGACCTTCCTGACCCCAGGCCAGGGTTAGGGCCTTCTCTCTCATGCGCTCTCAAACCCACTACACACTGGATGACCTTGGACTTGTCCTCCTCCCCCTCATTAGAATGCTCTTCTCCACCCTCAGAAAGTGCACTGTCTCTCTTGTGAGCTATTGGGTCAAGGACACAGTCCCAGGATGGGATAGAGAAAGGCCAGGTGCATCAGCCCCCACTGGGCCTGCAGTTCACAGCCCCAGCGTGGGCAGCTCAGCTTTGTCTCGTTTGTACATGGACAGGACATGTGTGGGCATCCTTTACTTTATACTGGTTCTACAGCTTTCTGTCATGTCTCTTTCTTTAGTGTGTGAACTTCTACATCTGATGACCCAGAAGTTATTAGGAACCACAGGTGTGTCTGGTAACGTTCCATGTAGACCAGTGAATGTGGGCCTCCACATACACGAATGTCCACATACCCTTGGGAGATGCTCTGGTTCTAATTATCGTGTGGATGCCAGTTACTCACATTCTACCACATTTCCATCGTGTGTGGAAGAGGTTCTGATGGGAGCCCAGCCTTTGCTCTGCCTTTGCTTGGCTGGGCTGCACCACAAGCAGGAAAAAGCAGGCACACTGCCTCCCCAGGGCCAGTTACCTTCTCGAGGTCTGGCTCCTCTAAGCCCAGCGCTAACTCATTGTTGTCCATCACGGAGGAAGCTGCCACATCCAGCGGAGTGGATCCCCTCATCGATGGGGAGGCTGAAGAAAGAGGAAAGGAGTGAGGAAGGGGCAAAGAGACCACCTCTCGCTGAGCTGATGTTGCAGTGCATATAATTGGCCAAAAGAGGGCAGCAAACACACTAAACCTGTGTCACATCGCTGCTCTCTAAGGGAACTGCCCCGCGCAATTTCAGTACAGCTCTATTTGCTATCCTTCCTCCGCACACTCATTATTGATTGTGAATACGGATTAAGTTAGAAAATCAGTTCAAAGGACCAGCTGGGACCACGTATTTTCAAGTGCTTTTCTAACATGAAACTTCTTGGGGCCCCCATTTGATGATCACTCCAGGCTCAGTTGTCACTAAGCTAAAATGACTTGCCCATTTCTGGGGGCACCACTTAGAATTGAAAAATAATCTCAGACAGCATTAGCTCATATAGACATCAGGTCCAATGTTGTTTTTGGTTTTCCTTGTCTAGTTCTTAGGCTAGAATTAAGAAAAACTTCAGGTAGGTGGCATTTTGCAAATAGGTTGGTAGCCTGAGGTTGCATTTGATAAATGGGAAACCTGAGATTTCAGATTTCATGTGCATAGATGTGTGTATTTGCGTCTTCCACAAGCTCATTTGATTTACATTCAGAACAGTGAATAAGGCATACGTGTTGTGTTGCTTTGCTAGTGGTGGTGATGGATTTACACTGTTTATCCACAGTTGCTCTTGGCCAGTCGGCCTCGCATCTATGGAAAGCACTGGCTGGTTGGCTAATGGGACAGGCATGTAACCTGCAGCTAGCCTGCCAAAGAGAGATTGGATCCATGACCTTGGTCTCATTGGCAATGATCCCTGGTCAGCTGAGTGGGCTGGGAAGGACTATATCCCCACACTGTATCTTCAATTTCAAATGGCATTTTATAAACCCTGAGTTCCTTGGTCCCAAGAGAGACGAGGTAAAATTGTGTGACTATGCCAACACAAATCTGTCATCTGGTAGCAACATCTCTCCCTAGGATGGAGAGCAGAGCAGCGACGTAGTATCATTTTTCACTTGTTTATAGATCAGGCAGGGGCCCTTTTTATTTTTTGAAAACCCCACAGTATGCATGTGGCTTATCTCCCTTTTATATCCTCAGTGGTCAGCAGGGGGAGTGTCACCTCTGAACCCAAATATGGAAGTTATAACGTGACATACCTAGGCCAACACTGCTGTTCTCCAGCAGGTAACTGAGATGCTCAAACATGGCCTTCTGATTTTGCCGGCTAATTCGACAGAAATAGCAAAGGAAGCGGCAACAGCTAGCAACCATCTTTGGGAAAGCAATCTGTAGGGAGGAGGAAGTGTCAAGGAAAAGAATCGATCATGAGGTCTTTCTGGAAAGTCTGACTTCAAAGAATTGAGGTCTTACAAGCTGCCAACAGTCTGGAAAATATATTTTCTCCTTACTTCCAGTTTGTGCCAAGATGTAGTCACAGGAGAGAGAGAGAGCGCGCGTACGCCTAACAAGAGGCTTCCCAAAATATTGAGAGTGAATTATAGTTCCTGAACTATCTTCCTTTCCATGGAAATAGAAGTCAAACAAGAATCCCAGTCACCCTCAGATGTCACGTGAAATTGCACGACCCTGCACCAGACTATTGTTTCTAACTAGCAGGGGAGTGGACAGAACTCTGATGGAAAACTTCAGGAGGGAGCTGGGTGATCAGAGCCGAGGCCCGGCAGTGTACCAAACCTGAGTGCTCCGGGTCAAGGCTGGCCCCTACAGTTGTAAAAGCCTCAAGAGCATCACGCTCCTGGGCTGTGAGCCTCCCCCAATGCCTTCTGTTCTTGATAACTGCTCTCCTATGGGCTCCTGCAGCACTTGTGATCTGCTTCATACAAGTTAGTACTGAGATGCCATCTTACTGGGCTGTCAGAAAAGTCATGACGCATTTTTTCTATGTTTTCATTGCAAAACTGCGTCATGACTTGTCCGACAACCCAATGTATTATACTGTTTTCTGTGTTTGACTTGTCTGCTTAACAAAGCAATTAGCATCTCCAGGGCCTGGCCACGTCTTATTTTTGATCCAATCATGTTCAATAAATGGTGCCAGTTGTTGTTTGCTTTGCTCAGGATCCTAGAAGGCCCTTGATTTCCCCTGTTGGAATCATGAGGGGTGCTTGAAGAAGTAAAATTCTGAAACCTAGCGTCTACGTGCCTGCTGAGGCATCCAGACATTTGCTCAGGGATCTTCTGGAGAGAGTCCACTTTCCCAGGAGATCAGAAGAAATCAAGGGAGAAAGAATGTGAGCTTGGCTTCCAGTCTTCCTTCATACCCCCAGCTGTCAATGCTGGTGGCAATGCTTTCTTAGGACCCAGGCACTCTGGAATTTTCAATATGTGAAAACATACCCCATCTACTGCCTTTACAAGCTATCTGATTCTGAGGAGGACTTCAGGCAAGTTGGGCTAAATACCAAGTTGGGCCCTATCCCTAATCCTTTCCCCTTGCCAGGAGGAGCTCGCCCTAGCAGCAGGCACCTTACAGGGGGGTGGGGTGGCGGGCTTGCAAGGACATCATCAGGAGCTTGGCTCACACAGGAAACACGCACGCTCCCGAGGGAACTCTGCCAGGATCATTATTAAGATCTTGTTTTCTTTTAAAACAGCCTTCTCCTGACGCAGCACAAAACACACCAGGCTCCTGAGTGGAACCCAGAGGAATACCCACTGGGAAGGAGCAGGGCTGCAGAGTACGGCAAACGCAGCAGCCGAACAGCACAGTGGAATAAGACAGAAAAGCCTCTGAGCTTCTCTCCTCACACGTCTCATCCCACCTCTCGGCTCCTCCCTGGAACTGTGCGCGTCCCGTCCCTCCCCTTCCCTGGGAAGAGTAGCTGAGGCAATGGACACCAGCCATGTGGCTGTAGACAGGTCGCCTCCAGTGTTCCTGCCCAGGGGTTGAGATCTGGCTAAGTTCTCCTTGTAGCATTACCTGAGATTTCTCTGCGCCCAACACGTTCACCATCACCTCCATCACTGTCTCGTGCATGCCGAGGACTCGCATGAGGTTGGGGTGCTGGTAAAACACCTTGTTGTTCATTATGTCTCTAGGGTAAGGATCGGAGAGAGACTTCAGCACTTCCTTATTTCAAGGCTATGGAAATGCAGGGATGAGGACACACAAATGCACACACACACTAAGGGTGAAGTAATGTAACTGTGACAGGCTGAAAAGATAATAAGACGGCACTAGGTCAGTTGGAACATATGCAGAGTGCCTTTTTTAGCTGGTAGGAATATTCTGGGCTCTTTTATTTCTACTAAGTACATGCTTTCTGTCTTGGAAAAATTTCCTTGTAATGTCATTAAACGGTTGCCCCTTGGTCCTTTTACTTGCAATAGTTTGAAGGCAGCCCAAATCACCGGATTTCTCTTCCTCCAGGTACTCAGGGTCTTCCTTTATTTATTTTTTTTCTTTTCTCGCCTTCTATCTCTGTCTCTGTGTACTTCAGTTTTCTTAGTGATAAGGCTGTATCCTTTTCCTACGGCAATTGTACATTAGGTACTAATGATGTTTGGGGACAGCAGTCCCCAACCAATAAAGTCATCAACAAAATGAAAAAAGAAGTATGTTTTTAAGTCATTCAGTACAAACAAAAGCTGCAGGCAAATCCACCGACAGAAGCAGCCCATAACGGGGCTGTGTGACAGCTGGCAGTGTGGTCACTCTCTGCCCACCCCTACCACATCCCTGCCCCCGAGTGTCGCAGCTGCCAAGAGGAGATGCCACCAGGTTTCACTGCTGCCATGTCTACTGCGAGGGCTGAGGGGGAGGCTAACTTGGCTGCTGTTTTCTCTTCCCATAAAAATCTCTTTATTTCCATTATAAGATTCCCCTATGGAAATGAATTGGAGGAATGTGTGCACCCCCCACCCCCACCCGACCTGGGTGTCTTCAAGGTCCCTGTTCTGGACCTCGGTGACAGATGCTCATTTAATTTGCTGGCTCAAGGGTAGTGGGATGGAACATGCGGCAGCAGGGAGGCTGCAGTTCTAGTTTTTCATTTTAATCAAGTAAAACTGTGGGTTGCTCAGTGAACCTTTTGGAGCCTCAGTTTTCCCATCTGCAAAATGGAAGTGTTACAATACCTAATTAAAAGAAATCTTTCTGATGTCTAAAATGCCTTCTTTTTGATAACATGGCTTCTAAGGAAGAGACGCAAGCTACTGTTATGGGTAAAGGTGCCTCAGAACTGACAGAAATGACCCTCTAGGATAGTGCTGAGAAAAGGGAGGGAGCAGGCAGTAATTTTGCAGACGGAATTTTCAGAAGATTTCCAGTCAAAAGCAGGAATGCTCATAAGTTTTCTCTCGTGTTGGGGTGAACACACTGTCCCTTGCTCTGAATTTTTTCATTGCCTCCCAGAGGCTGTTTTCATCAGATTCACGCTAAATTACTGGTTTTTTTTCCCAAGAATCCTCCCCACTTGTTCTGGTAATGTCCCTTCACCCTGATTAGCAGGTATGGCCTCTCAGGTTATCAACAGTGAACTGCTGTGGCAAGGGCGTGCCCACAGGAGGGGCACACAGACTGTACACAATGCGATCCTGGAACACCCACTCAGCAGGGTAAGCCCGTTTCCCCACTTGAGGCCCTTCTGACAGACAGCCGTGCACATAACTGTGAATGGCCTACCCCAGCCCATTGATCATGAGCATCTCCTCTTCTTTGCCCATCCTGACACTGAGCAGGCAGCGAATCTGGCCCAGGGCAGCCAGCAGGTTGATGGTGTCGCCCACGGAGGCCTGGCTGATGGTGTAGGTCTTCCGCAGCGCCTGCAGCAGCTCCCCGATGCTGTCGTACTGTCTCCGGAGGAGGCTGAACATCATCCGGACTAGTTCTGCGTCCTGGATCTGGTCCTCTTGGGCCCAGCGGATCATCGTCTGTGAGATGAGCTCCTTCAGTGTCGCTAGAGAGACAACAGGAAGGACCAGTTTGGTGGCCATCCCGGCTCAGGGGGAGCTAAGTGACTCAGCTACTTCATTCAATGATAATGCACACTGTCGGTTGATCTGGGCTAAAAAATTATTTTTTTTAAGGATGGGGTATGGCATGCAGACCAGTAGAATATATTATCAAAAGACACATATGTGAACCATAATACAGGACAAGAATAGCACATGGAGTGAAGTGGACTATGAACATCCTATTAGGTCCCAAGGCTTTGCAGTGGGACACCTGACCCCCAAGCACTGAACTGTGTTGCCTGGATCTCTGGCAGGAGCCAGCTGGCACTGCACCATGGACTATCTTCACAAGCACTGAGAGAGGAAAATCAGTGTGACTTTGAATTCAGAATTTCTCAGGGCTCATACTGGTTGCACAGAAATACCACTGGCTGTTATCAGTAAAGATCGCCAGTGGCACTCGAACCCGTTATGGGACTTTCAAGGGGTTAGACTCAACAGCCCTGAACAGTGCTCACTGGCAGTGGTGTGAGAGGATGAGCAGAAGGGAGACCTGAGCAGGAGGACAGAGCAGAAGGGGACCCTGCCAGCATGGCTGGGGAGGCACTGCTCACCCCGCCTCATGCCATGCACAGTTCCAGAAGGTGCCAGGACAGAGGTGAGATATGCTGCTTTTAAATTATAATTGCATCCAAGTCTGGCTCTGCCTATCACCTTCCTGTAAGGTATGGCTGGCACCAAGATCCTTAATTCAGACCTGGTGATAAACACAGAGCTCAGGGGACAATGAAGGTCATAGAGTCCATCAGAGAAAGGACTGGGAGTGAACTCAGATGGGTGTCTTTGGTCATCTGTGCCATCTCTAAAAATTGAGTGTTCTACCTTCCTATACTATATATGGCGCATGTCTGCTCTACATCATTCAGTCCTGGCTCCTCCTAAGGACATAAAAATAGAACTCCAGAAGAGATCTAGAGATAAAGGATTCATTTGATTTACTGCTGTGTCTATCAACCCTGTGGGTATTTTAGGTTCAGATGGGAGACATTAGCCAAAAAACTTAAAAAAGGATACCGAAGGCAGAGAGAAGCTCCATTAAAATATATTCCTAAGAGATCTCACTAGGCAGGCATTGCTGACTAATAGCTGTTAGGTTAGATAATATCTTAACCTTCTGGTGGGGGGAGAAGTTATTTATGGGCTAGACTGAGCTCTTCTCAGGAACCTGTTTCCTCAGCAGCCAAATGTAGAAGTTCCTATGTCTCCTACTTACTATTCTCAGTAAGGAACGAAAGCAAGGCAAAAACAGAGACATTCTTGGACCCCACCTAAGTTTTTCTAGTCCTGTAAGTATAATTCCCTCTTTAGCCTGTATTTTGAGCTGAAAAAAATTTACAGTTCTTACCAATACCAAGCAAATTCTCTGCAGAGATTATACACATCATTACAGTCCTTGCCACGCATGAAAGGCAACGATCAGAATTGTTAGTCAGCTCAAAGTCCATCTTCTTTTTAACAGGGAATTTTACAGAGTCATAACGAAACCAAGTGAATATTAGCATTTCCGTAACCTGACTTTCAGATGAATTCAGGGTCTGGGTGAGCGCTTAGCCTCACAATGATTTAAAAATCCAAGTCAACATTTATAGTCTAGTGGAACATTTACAGCAAAACATCTCGCTTGAGGGCAAATGGGACAGAACATGGCCCTTTAGCCTGGAAGGACGCAGCAGGAAACAACCCCCGAGTTCTTTGCCCAGACTAGCCTTCAAGGGAAAAATAAGAGAGTGAGATAAAGAAATGTGTGTGTGTGACCAAGCTAAAGCTCAGTTAAAAAAATGTGACCCCAAGGTCACGACAGAAAAAGCAAGACTTATCATCGCTGTGTTATTGATGGACAGATACAATTCGATGGAAGGCATGACATTTAAGGTCATTCTTATTGATTAGGGTTTCCAAATATGAGACTGAGCTCCAGAAAGTGAGAGAAAGAATTAGAAAGAAATGAGAAGAAAACTGTGGGGAGGGGAAGAAACATTCTCAAGAGCCCTGAAAAGCACAGTGTATTTTGTGGCTGGACATACGCCAGAGACCTAGCACCCACCAAGCAAACCTAGACTGAACTGAGAAAATGAAGCTTTACCCGTGACAGCCATGCCACTGAAAATGCCTCAGATTTTAATTAGCTTCCATGAAACAGTGGCAGAGCAACATAAAGGTACCAGAGTCAAGGGGCTAAAAAAACACATGTTCTAGAAGGTCAGAGGCTCTCTGTATATCCTGTGCATCTGACGATTAAAATAATTAATGCATATAACCATGTCTGGCACATATTGAGGACTTTATAAAGGTTAACTACTATATTATCTATACCAGTAGTTATAAAAAGGGTGGTCCACAGGCCCTTGGGGTTCCCAAGATCCTTTAGGCAGTTCTCAAGGCCAAATGTATTTTCATAACAATGCTAAGATGTTATTTGCTTTTTTCATTGTGTTGGTAGCTGCACTAACGGTGCAAAAGCAATGGTGGGTAAAATTGCTGGTGCCTTAGCATGAAACATCAAGTCGGTGGTGCCGAACTCTGCTTGTCACTGCAACATCCCCAGGAAAATGCCCAGTTTCACATAAGAATGTTCTCAATGAAATATAAACATTATTAATTTTATTAATAATAAACTCTTGAGTATACATTTTTTTTTTTTTAAAGCTCAGCCATCCTGCCACCTCTTGGCAGCTCAGAGGCTGCTCAGCTTGGGCCGGGAATCGAATCGCTGTTGCTCAGAGCTCAAACTCTTGAGCAAGCTCTTAACCAACTGAGCCACTTGGCTGGCCCTTTGAGTATACACCTTTTTAATACCCTGTGAGACAAAATGAGAAATATGCTTAAAGCACTCCTGCTGTGTGTCAAAGGACAGTGGTTTTCTTGAGGAAAAGCACTTGTGTGATTGAGCTGTGAGCTTATTTCATGGAATACCAGTTTTAATTCAAAGAACCACAGACAAACTAGGTTAAGCAATCTTGGGTAAATGACAGACGTTTCCTTAAAAATGAAAGAAGGAAGCCTGTCATTTCAAGGAAAACAACCAATAGCATCTGTGGTCATAATATAATTTGAGCTTTCAAGTGAAAACTAGAATTTTGGAAAAAGTTTATCTGCCACTATGAGTTTGACAGCTTCCCAATACTTAAAAAATTTTCTTATTAAATTGTTGATATTAACAAATGTGATTTTAAAAAGTTTTATAATTAAAGATGTCAACATTTGGAAGCTCTGCATAACTTGGTGAACCAATAATTTCCCAAATGCATAATATTACAAAAACATTCATAGGTAAAAGATCCATTCAACAAGCAAGATACACCAATGGATTTAGCAGAACTAAAGACACTCACAAAAGAAGACTTCCAGAACTGCTTCAAAAAGTGGCAAGAACTATGGGACAAGTGTGTTCGAAGCAAGGGGGAGTATTTTGAGGGGGACTAATGGCAATGTGTCTTTTACTGTAAAAAATTTTCTTTTTAACTTATACATTCACCATGTTGTTTGATCATACCTCGTACCTCCAGTTGTGTCCCTCCTAAATAGTTTATGAATCAAACATTGTTTTCTGTTAAGTGCCCAGTGTTGGGTTAAGTACCCTAAATGAAACTATTTCAAGGCACAATTATTATGCACAGCACTAGTTGGGGAAAGCAAATACATACATGTGGAGCATTTAATGAGAAATAGAGTATAAAAAATAATGGGTAAAACTGCCTTTCCCAAGATATTTAGGAAACAATACAATTCATTAGAAGGTACAACGTCTACAGTAATGTATTAAAAAGAAATTGAGAAGAGAAATGATAAGATCTTCCTCTCTCGTTTTTTTCCCCCCAATGGGTCCTTTATCTAAAGTTCTTTATTTCTGGAATAGGCCCACATTACATGGAGACTAAAGAAGCAGGGAAGGAAAAGCTCTATCACGAAGTTAAGAAGGACGATGAAAGGGTCTGGTAGAAAAGACTGCTCTTGGCTATGACTAACTTGGAATGCCATTTGCCTTTAAGAGATGGCTCACACAAGTAGTCCCTGTAGTAAATGCTTTTAGTTTTTTCTGGTATCAGTGGGGAAATGCTGACCATTTCGACAGCAAAGGGAGTCAGTCAGTTCTCAAGATGAATTTGAACCTCTTTGTTAACCAAAGAGATACAGCTATATTAAGAACAGTTACAACTAAATTATGATTTCATTTCTGCTACTTTTCTAAATTCATCTTTGGAAATGCTGCCCTTTAATCACTAAAAAAAGTCAAAGCAATCAACCAACAAACAAGACACTTAGGAAGCATGACCCCTGAAGGGGACAGACTCCAGGAGAAAGGTAAGGGTGAGGTGGAGAGCTTAAATCTACATTTGTCATAATGTATGTTTTCTCTCTCTCTCTCTCTCTCTCTCTCTCTCTCTCTCTCTCTCTCTCTCACACACACACACACACACACACACACACTCATGTGCCTAAATTCTCCACTTAAAGCCTCTACCAAATGTAATGAAGTTGATTCCGCAGTCTTTGCTGCAGCTCTAGGATTTCTACCCACTGATGTACCTGTTTCATGAAGGCCTTGTCAAGTGCACAAGATAGTTCAGCTCATGTGATGTTTAAAAAGCTATAGTGTTCTTTTCCAAAAGGAAAAAGTAAGAAAGAAATATGTGTAACCAAACACTTCTTTTCTGCTGAGATATAAAATCAATCCTATGAAACAGAATGCCTTAGGGAAGCTAGTCATGTGGTTTCCTTGACAAATATAAATGGTTTCATTTATGAAATTATTAACATTCTGGCTCACTCCACTTTTGCAATTTGTGTAATTAGGGAGAGTCACATTTAGGCAATTATATCAAATATATGATCTAGAAACGGCATTTTAAATGATTGTCCAGGTTAATTCAGAATGGAAATATTTCTAAGGCATTGTATTATTTAGGAAGTCTTGAGGCCTGAAAGATACTTTAAAAGAAAA